CTGGAGCTGAAGAGATGGAGGATTAAGATGCAACCACAGACAAACTCCACAGCTTTCCCACACACAGCAGATGTCCACAGAGAGAAGGCGCTGGGAGCCTGGCATCAACACGCATCCGCCAACAGGCCACTTGGTCAGCCTGGCCCAATACAAGCTGACAACCTCCTGGCAGCATTTAGATAACACCATCTTCTCTGTTTAGTTTGAGAGCCAAGGGAAGGAACTCATGGGGGCCCCTGCACTGCATACGAAAGGGACTCATTGCAAAGCAGCACATTGGAGCCACTATGTGTGAAAGAGAGAGATAGAGGAACACAAAAAGATAAAGTGAGAGAGAAGTGGGGAGGGCATTGTGTGCAAGCTCAGCTCAAGTACATCAAGTACAATCTGAGGGACATTTTTGTTGCCCCCACACTGCCTCCATGTTTTTCCGATTGAAACATCCTTGAATGCATGCATTCTTTCAAGTATGCATATTTGCTTAAGTATAAATAAACACATCAGATCCAGATGCCTTCAGGAACAGGTCTGCTTGTTGTTTCCTCTAATTGACGCTAAACGGGAGTGTCACGGCCCAGGATCTTTTCACTGAGCCCTCGCTTTGTTGCCTTGAATGACGTTCGTTCCCCCAGCGGTCTCTCATTTCCACTGTTTACATGAGATAATGATGCATGTGTAAGGATACACTGCCAGGCCAAGTGAGGGGTTTGTTATGAACTGTGACGGCTGCCTCGTCAGGTCCAAAGCAATTTGTGTTAAAACGGAGCAGTGATGTCAGTTCAAACATACCGTAATAAAGTCCGATCCTGCAGCGTTGTTCTATAATGCACGCAGAGAGCAATTAATCGCTCATGCACATTCCCAAGAAAGGCTAAAAGGCCACGAGGTCAAACATGACTCTACAGATGGGACGATGTTGTTGAACTTGTTCCCCGTTTGTGTAATGTACTTAAAATGTAAATGTTTCCAGGGGATTACAATTACACTGTAGCAAGAAGTAAGTGGATAAAATGGGATTTAATGACATTCTCATTAGCTTCATTTATTTGGATTTGCATTAGCCACAGCAGTTAGTTTGCTTGAAAATGAGCGAGGTGTACCTGCTTTCCTCTATAAGTTGAACTTCCACACAGAACCAAGGCTGTCTGCTGTGGATTTCAGTGATGCTGCTGTTGTGTGGACAAGAAAACTAAACCTGACAGCCTTATTCTGCCCGAGTCTCTCTTAGGAGCGGCAGACCATATCGCTCAGCAATACTGCAGATGAGCTAATGGCATTCTTATAACAAAGGGAGCAAAACAATTAACATTGTTATACCTTTTGCAATTTTCTAAATGATGTTGTCAATATGCTCTGACCACGAAACCCAGTATGCAATTTCTATTCATTTGATCTTATTGACTTCTTTGTATTTTATATCACCAGACATACAGCTGCTGGCTAACCATAGTCCACTCCCACTAATCACAGATTTTGATTTGAAAGTGTCCAAATCCTATTATTCATATTGACCCAGCATCCGTCAATTCCTGCTTTTAGACGTTCGATGATTCAGTGCAGTTATCAGTGGGAGAAAATGTGCTGAATAATCAGCATAAATTGCACAGCTGTGTGTCAGCCCCGCAAAAAAAAAAAGAAAAAAGGGAACCCTTCCACAGAACTGGATGAAATATGGCGTTGCAGAACGACAGAGTGAGACTTTAACACCAAACAATGTTGACCTCATTTCCTCAGCCTCAAGTTATGTTGCTGTTTCTGTGCAGTTTTAGTGTGTGCAGGTTTATGAAACACTGCTGGGTTGGAGGGCAAGTCCAACAAGATGATAAAATAACTGTCAACCTTTGATTGAATTCTCCTCTAATGTGTTTTGTCAGCAGGAGAAATATCATTGGCCACTAGTTGATTTTTCTTTTTGCTTTCAATTCATAAATCCTGCTCTTTGTTGTCCAGAGAATGCAGACCGCAGAGAATATTGTGTCAAAGCTGTCTCTTAACACCTTCACCGGTCCAGATAAATTACTGCCTATGAAAGCCAACAGTTCTCTCTTTTAGAACCCCATTACTTTAATGGAGGACAATTCAAGCTTGAAATATTTACAGTTTTCCTCACGGATGCAGCCAGATAGAAATTGCCCAGTAACATAAGCTCAGCTTAGATTGCTCTTATAAATTGATTAGTTTCCTCCGTGATCTTAAAAGTCCTATTTTCTTCCTTTGCTTTTTGTGACCTGTGGCTCAGTCTTGCCCTTTTTTGTGGAGTTTGAGTGCCTCCTTCTGGCCTCATGTTGTCATGAGACGACAAGTACATTGCACTCTCTTCCAGTAAAGTAAAATATCAAGATAATTTTTTATACATATATAAAATGCCTGGAACCAATTCAAGGATTTGTTAAATGGTTTGAGAAGACACTGGGAGTCTGTGGGTTCAACTTTAAACATTACAGCTAAAGCCATTTAGGAAGAAAGGGGAAAACACCTGGGCATCAATAAATCTGTAAATCTATCAGCCTATCAGCATTCAGCAATAAATAAAGTCACCCCTAATAACTAATGAGGTCTCTTCTAGGAGCACAACATATATCTCAACAGTTGTAAAAGAGAAAAAAATGTAATTACAATTTAAGAAGCAGTTTCTATGGTTCACCACCAATAAGCTATTTCAAATAACTGTGGGTCTGAGTTTTAGCATGTTTCCTTATAAGAAACACACTTCTCTATTAGAAGAGGGTAAAGCGAAAAGTGTTTGGGGGAAAAACTCTCTGGAGTCAAAACTCTAACCAGACGCCACTGCAGCGGTATTTTTGAACCCGTGCGTCAGAGCTGCGCCCGTGGCCAAACCGCTTATTAAAACGCAGAGAAGCCAAGTGCCATAAAGACAGAAGGCAAGCAGCTTGTTATTATTCTTTCTGAGAGGTGAACAGGCTGAGATCAATGGCTGCAGTGGTTTCGCCTCGCCACAACTATGGCCCTATAAAGCACAAAGACCCGTGTGGCTCCGACCCATACAGTCACAGATATTAAGTATTCCAGGGGCCTTTGAAAGAGGCTGCCAAGAATAATTTCCCACATGTAACATTTCCCACCAAAGCCACGGAGTCATACTGGCATATTATGTGCCCCCACTAGACCCCACATGCCCTCGCTAGAGTGACGCAGGAGAATCGATGGAAAAACAGATCCACTTCATTATTAAGGAGTCACGTTTGTCTTTATTTTATATATACAGATGGCTGGGAAAAAAAAACATTTATGAGAAAAAAGAAAGAACTGGATGTTGCTCAAATGTGACCCAGTTTTTGTACCATGAGTATTAACAAGCTTTGCCAAACTATTTTCAAAAGTGACACTAGAACAAGCTTCAGAGACAAATGCAAAGAAGCATCGATACAGGTCACATGTTTAGCATATAGCACATATACCTGATAACATGATATCGGCACAGGTGAGTTTGAACGTGTAAAATGATCTTAGGCACGTTGTGTGGAAAAGCGACTTGCTTTCTTCTTCTCATCCAGCAAAATTTCAAATCCTCAGCTGTCTGAAGCGGGTCTAGATGAATTCATATGTCATGTGCCATTTGGTCCAATAAAAAAAGGCAAGACCAATAGCACTGAGTTTTCTTTTTTTCCTGACCACAGGTAGTAAATGTATATTTTTATATGAAACGTCTGACCAACCAGTAAAGCCCTTCCAGGGTGGTGTGGCAGCTTGTGTGCAATCAAACCTACTCAAAGAGTATGAAAGTGGCTAAATATATGGACATTAACCGCTGACACAAAATCTCAGACATTAACCCTGTGGAGATTTGAGTTTTAAAAGTTACGAGTGAACAGCAGCAATGGCAGGCTATAATATACTCTATGATAGCCGGCTCTGGCTAGGTGGCAGAGGAAGCCTACATGATTGCATCAATTTTCAACTCATCCATTTACTCCTGATGCATTCATATAGTACTACTGCATGTCATCAACTTTTGTGTACTCTTTCAAATGCTTTATGTTTTGGTCGGGGTCTCTCTACATTCTCCTGCTCTCTCCGAAACAGATGACTGTCCCTCCCTAAGATCTGTGCCAGAGGTCGCTTCCTTTTACCAGGGTCTTCCTTTCTGCCACTGCGGTGGTTTAACCTGAGCTAAATTTGTCTTAGATTCATCAGGCAAACGTTGTGCTGACAAACACAATTCCTAGACAAAAGGGAGTATGTTTTCATTTTGCCCACAGCTGCACTGTTTGGTCACAATTTAAAAATGCCACAAAGCCAGTTTTTCTAAACAAGTGCTGGGAATAGTAGGATGACGAGTTTGGTACCAAAAAACCAGTCAACCTGCAAGTGATTCAGCGGTATATGCATTACACTGAGAGGTGGCAGAGTTGAAGATTTTCATTGGGGCAAGATTAGAGATGAGTACATCAGAGGGAGAGCTCAGGTTAAGCGGATTGGAGACAAAGTTAGAGAAGCGAGATTGAGAGGGTTTGGACATGTGCAGAGGAGAGAGAGTGGATAAGCTGGACAAAGGACATTGAATATGGGGCTAACGAAGATGACCACAGAGAAGATTAATGGATGTAGGGAAGCAGGACATGCAGAGGGTTGATGTGACAGACATGGAGGAGGGTAGGGATAGGGTGAGATAAAAGCAGATGAGCTACTCTGATGGCCCCTAAAGGAAGCAGCAGGAAAAAAAAAAGTATAACTGTCTGTTCTGGGAGATCCTTAAAACAGCTAAATTAAAAAGCACCATTTAGACTTGTAATTCAGTTCATTAAGGAGAGTCAGTTTCACAGCAATGTTTTCCAATCTCCAACTTCCAGCCATTTAATTAAACTACTTAACACCTGGCACTGAAGAGGAACAAATTAGCTGAAATTATAATATTTTTATATGTATATTTGTCTAAATATTAGACTTTTTCTGAACTATGTTACTCTGGTATTTCTAACAGACTGTTTATCTGTAAACATTGTGGGATAGCTTCAATTAATCCCATGAAAGCACACTGCTTGACTTGGTAGTGTCACATAAAGACAGATATTTATTTGTTAATAAAGGGCTACGATACATCTCAAAAGTTTGCTACTCATAAAACTCCTTTTAAAAAAAACATACATTCAAAATTAAATTTAATCCAACAGTAAATTATTGAGAAATGTTGTGAATGGCACCGATTAAAGGAACTGTGAACAACTTGAATAAAATGCCTATATATCACACAGGTGCCCATTTTCTACAACCATCTGTTTGGACATTGTGCTGCCTAATGCAAGTTTATGTTAAATCCTTTGCAGTTACGTTGGCACGGATAAAACTGCTGTGTTAGTTTGCTGTGTTCTGTGAGGGAAGATGCATTTTAACAACTGTCCGCATGAAAAACGCGTGAATTTGTTTAAACGAGAATAACCTGAAGAGTTTCAGAAGATATTTGGTTGCTTTTGTTCAGACAATAAAACATGCAAAGGCTGATACCTATTCTTGCTTACTGTTGTTTGAACAAGTATAACTGCTTTCAGTTGTGCCATCTCAGAAAACAAAAGCCTATTAGCATTATAAACCTGCATTAGGCATCTCAATGTCCTGCTGTGACACTGAAATGCTGGCTGCTCTGTATGAACATAGTCAATTAAAAATCATAGTCACTTACAACTCTTTTAATTTTTACAGCTGAAATAAAATTAAATGTGCTTTTCTTTACTAAAAAAGACATTTCTAAGAGATCTTTTGAGTGACAGTATAACTGTTACTATACCACAAATATATACATTGAACATATTTTACATAAGGCACAGGCTTCCAAAGCACTACATGCTTAGCAAAAAGGTACAGTATATTTAAAGCAGCCCATCCATTTACCTTCTAGGATAATCTTTGAGAATTCTGCTTTGCATGTTATGATGTAATTATTCAATTTAAATGCATCTGTTTGAGCCTACCTTTATATTATTGCATGAAAATAAGTGTTCATGCAAATAAGATGAGTGTTGAGTAGAACCAAAAGACCAAACCACCACTTTTGGATAAATAATGTGAAAGGAAATAAAACTAATAAATCTAAAACTAATATATCTTGACTGTCAGGTACAGAGAAGCTGCAGTTCACTGGAATTGTAGGTCAAAGCAGGTGCTGCCATGTCTGTCCCACTAAGAGCATCCTGCCCTCTGATTTTCAGGTTGACAAACTTTATCTTCCAGCTGTTGTTGTCCAGAGGAGAGCGGATAAGGCCAAATATTTGTTCAAAGATTCCCAGACAGACTGCATCTCTGTGAATAGTCCCAGCCACAGCCACCAACACCAAGCCATGAGGAGAGGTCAAGGCTTTGAGGCCATGGGGATCCAAATTGGGACTGAAGAGGAGACGCTCATCCCTGGTCAGTGCCAAGAATCGACGACTAACCAGATCAGCACCCAGAAACTCCTCCATCTGCTCACTGCCAGCTCTGAGAAAGACATAACTCTGTTATTAGTGTTTTGGGGTTGTTTTACCTTCATCTCTATGCTTTGTAAGACGAAAATCAGAAGGAATAATCTACCTGAAACAGAGGACTACTCTGAATAAGATTATAAACCAGCAACATCAGTATTATTTAAATTCTCATTTGCTTTCACTACTAATGAGGTTCTTACTTGGAGAGGAGACGTAACTTCACATCAGGCCAGAAATGTTGTGGTCCCCAGTCTTGGGGCTGTTGGCCAAGTGAAAGGTTTTGACTGTTCAACAGCTGGAAGAACCACTGACAGAACTGCTGGCCGAGGACCAGCGGATCAAAGCCCATCCCACAGTTCACATCTGAGGAAGCCACCTCTCCTTGAGTGTTTTCATCCACCACCTCCATAAAGAAATGAGAGGTTGTTGTTACAGATTATCTTCAGTCTCTACAAGTCAGAGCACTACACCCATATTAGCTAGAAGGTCAGTTCTTTGATGGAATGGCAACAGGTTCTAAAATATAAAGTCTGACTAAGGCTTGATTTTAGAGCTGGTGTTGACCCTGAATTTTGGGAAGTACAAATTCTAATATCAATATACAGTGCTGTTAAAAAAAAAAAAGAATTTGCTCTCTTCCTGATTTCTTATGTTTTTGCATATTTGTCACAGTTACGTGCTTCAAATCATCAAACACATTTTAGTATTGGTCAAAGATAGCCAGAGTAAATACAAAACTGCTGTCTTTAAATGATGTTTGCATTTATTATGAGTAAAAAGCTATCCAACCCTACCTGGCCCTAAGTAAAAGAAACAAAACAAAAACATCGTTATGATTGTCAAGACAATGGAAAATAGTCTGTGGACTGACAAAACAAAATATTAACTTTTTTGGAAAGTTTGCATCCTGTTACATCTGGTGTAGAACTACTACACAGCATTTCATAAAAAAAAAAAACTGCAGCAGTCAAACACTGTGGTGGTAGTGTGATCGTTTGGGACTGCTTTGGGATCTGGATGCCTTGCCCTGACTGATTGAACCATGAATTCTGCTCTCTACCAGAAAATCCAGAGAATGTCCAGCCATCAATTTGCAGTGCAGGGATCCAAAACACAACAGGAACTCCATCAAAAAAATAAAATGAAGTTTTTGGAATGGCCTATTCAATATCAAAACTGCTTGATTGCAGTTCTTGCTGCCAAGGGTGGCACAGTCTGTTGTTCGGTGATTACTTTTTCAAAGCAATATATAACCTGTTATAAAGGTGTGTGAGGACACTGTGTGTGAATAACCCTAATTATGTCTTCTCTTTCCAGGCATACCAACATCAGTGCCATGTCTTCACTTCACTGGACTTCACTATTCAATAAACAATACTTTCCATCCTTTATAAAATAGATGGGTCGCCTTTGGCTTATCCCCAAATAAAACATTTACTGGCGGCAGTGGCTTCTGTTTCTCTCGTGTGTCAAGTTACCTTTACAGAGGACCACAGCTCCAGGGTCCTCTTTATAAGCATGTGTTTCTCGCTGTTTGGGGGCATCGCCACACCTTCTGTAGCCAGGTACTTGAATATCAGGTCACGCTGAACCTTTTTCCTCCTCAGGAGCTCTTCGGCATTTTTAGTGAAGGAGAGAATGGTTTCTTTAGCTTCTGCAGTGGAAAAATGATCAGAAAGAGTAAGATAAGCTAATCGTTTATTTACCCAGCAGAGGTGAGAAAACACTAAAATTTTTCATGCACTTTATTTGTTATTTCTTGGTAGGTATACAACAAATCTCTTGATTAAGGACATTATGTAACTCACTGGGCTCCAGTAAAGACTTAAGGTAAGCTGACTTCCTCTTTGCCAAGTGAAACTGAATAAAAGTCTTACCCGTAATGTTTTCCACGACTATCATCTTATTTGTGACCGTATCACTGAGTGACAGTAAGTCGTTTTTTGTCATTAGGCTCAGTATCTTCGTAAATCCAGCACGCTCTGTTTCTGATAGTCCTGACATTTTGGCAAAACGAAAACACTGGGACGGTTTCGTCCATTTGAGTCCTGCAAGAAATCTCTCCGTACGGAAACAAGCAGTAGTGGGAACGGAATTCGTTCAAAACACTGGTTGCTATGTTACATTGATGCGTTCGCTATATCTCGGAGAGCAGACAACTTAAGGTATTGTCAACGCCGCAATTGTCACCGTAAGAGCTAGAAATTACGATAACAGAGTGAGCACGAATGTAGTACAGAAGGGCTTTCGCTGCCTTTTGGGCTGTAAAAAATATGGGAATCTTGATATTTACTTACACAAAACAAAACAAATAAAATACATTTTTCCATTACTTTTTGCTCTCACTAATAAGTAGGAGCTAGAGAGTGCCATGTCTTCTGCTGTATCATTCAGGGGAAACTGGTGCTGTGTACTGACACATTTTATGGTAATTATTACGTAAAAAATGGCAGTTTTCTCCATTTTCTTTGAGTTATTAGAGGCTCATTAGAATAAATACCAAAATATTAATCGTTGAAATTTGAAGTGTACGGTGAGCTCCTGAAGGCATCATAAGCCAAGCTAGCAGCTAGCCTGCGCAGTAGCGATGCTCGGACGGGAGAGCTGGTCAGCCTGTTTAGCTGGCGTCACGCTATCATATTAACATGCTTTAACGAGGCTAAGAGGATCCGTTCTCCAGTTTAATATCGTACTGTGAAGCTAGTGAATCCGAAAGGTAATGTACTGTTATCATTTGCTAATTTACCCTCAGCTAGTTATCCATTCGTTTAGCTTAGCTAGTATGCTGTTAGCGCAGTGCCGCTTATTTACATGTCACTTAAACATTTAGGCATTCTTGTTAGTTTTTTCAGTTAAACTGCTGGTCCACTTACAGTAATGTTTTAGGGTATGTAATATTATTTTCCCTTCTGTTGGGATTCACATTCAACCACACGTTGGTATTTACTGTTTATCTTTGGTCATATTGAATTAAACTATCTTACAGTTTGATACTTTTCTTGAAATCAGTGTATGATCGTGGTAACGCGATTAGACCTGGAGGTTTCTGTCGAGAGCAAATCAGGGGATTTGACATGTGTACGTTCAATGACACAGAAACGTACCTTGGACATTGACCTATTCCTGCTGGTTTTTATCTAGCATCTGGGTCGCATAGACAAATATTGATAGACTTCAAAGCTAAAGCTGTCAAAAGGAATGAGGAACTGTGTCATTGCATAAAAAAAAAAAACAAAAAACATTTCGCAGGATATGCACATCACACTGGCCAGCTTTCAACACAAGGAAATATTAAGAAATGAGCAGGAGGAAGAAGCTGCCAGTGTCTAGTGGTGGTAGTATCATGCTCTGGGGCTGGGAATAATGAACGAGGTTGCCTTCAAATTCTTCAACTTCACCTCAAATCAACAGCTAGATAGTTAAAACGTGAATATAACTGGATGTCCCAACACCACCATGGTCCCAAACAAACATTCAAACTAGTTTTGAAATGGATTAAGCATTAAACATTAAGCTTCTGGGCTGACTTTCCTAAAGCCCTGACCTCAAACTTATTGAAAATGTGTGGACTACTTCTGCCAAGAATAGTGGTCTAATATCTAGGCACAGTTATGCCATAAGCATAATGGATATCAAAAGTGTCTTGTTGAGGTGCAACTTGCTAAGGGAAACTTAACTGAATATTAGCGGTGGTGTATCTATATATTTCAACCTGTATATATACTTTTCAATATACTTTTCTGTGTTATTAGAGACAATCCATACATTTTCTTCTGGTTATCTGGGGCCGGGTCACAGGGGCAGGACATATAAACAGTATACACTGGATATATGTACATAAAGCCTAAAACTAGATAATTTTATTTCAAGGAGTTTATTACATTTTGTACAAATTGAGGAGGCCAAAAGTGTGCTTCATGTTGGGTATGTTTTCTGCCTAGGGATTAAATATTTTTGCATACATTTTTCAAATTGTATAAATCTTTCTCCCTTGATTTCCCATTAGTGTTTCCGATGGGAGACTATGAGAGCAGTGCTCCTGGGCGAATAACTGTGTATTCAATCCAGGGTTGCCCCCACTGCACGCAGGCCAAGGCCACCCTTGCTCGCTTGGGAGTGCCTGTATGTGACATAGACCTCGGTAGTCATTCAGAGCTGAGAGCAAAGGTGAAGGAGCTGACAGGACGCAGCACAGTCCCTCAGATCTTCTTTAACAATGTTCATGTTGGGGGTAACGACGACCTGCAGAAACTGGTGAGGAAAAGGAAAACATTTCTGACGATACCACTTCCCTAATGACCAGTAAACTAAGAGGTCAAGCAGTGTCCAAAAATGGGGGAGAAAAACTAATTTGAACTGATACTGTAATTTCTGTAGTCACCTGAAGAGCTTCAGAGGCTGGCAAGTCTGGTGAAGGAAGAGCCCCTTCCAGCAAATGCACCACCTCTGCCACAACAGAGTCAGTCAGAGCATACAGCTTTGGAGAACGAAGGAGGTAAGGAATTAATTCTTAAGAGTTTTTGCCTGCTTAAGATCATTACTTTCCTTTCCTTCCCTTTACAGTCAAAAATGCTCTTAAGGCACATTTTAATGCGGTTCTTAAATATATTTGTAAAATACCTTCTGATATTTTAGTATATTAACTGCCTATCTTTCAAGAAATAGACAAGCATGGTCTGAAGTCAGCGTGTCCGGTTATGCATAGTCATTGTTGGCTGAGGGTGAGCCAAGAGCAAAGAGTGGTTATGAAATAGCATTGGCTGATGTAGTGAAAAAGCCATTTTTAGGCAACATCAGTTGTGTGTGTGTGTGTGTATGAGTGTGTCTTACATCCATGCTCCTCTACTCCTTCAAATGCCAACACGGACAGTTGATACAGGAAACCTGAAACTCTGGATAAGCCTAGTAGTGCTGGGCTGCCCCACAGAACCTCATATGTACAGTGTAAACAGTATTTGTAGAAAAATATTGAAATTTAGTGTTAGCTTTTGTGAAGTTTAATTAAAATCAGCAGTACGTAGTACTACACATACATCTCTGGCACCTAACGATAATGCACTGAAGAGCAGAACAAGTCATCAGATTGTAGTCGGTGTAATATAGGTGAGCTGCTTCTGATAGAGCAGTTTTATTTAGTTTTTGCACAGATGTATAGACTATTGGAGTACTTACAGTTTTGCCTTTTTAACAATGACACCCTTTACATATACAGTCACAACCATATTATACAATATGTTCCTTATATCAGATTCTAACCATCCAAATGTTGCAGAAGAATGCCTAAAAGACTTGTGTTGCTGCCATGAGATTCACTGATTCCATATTTGCATTAATGAGCAGTTGAACTGGTGTACCTAATTAAGTGGCCGGTAAGTGTACAATATAATAAGGGGGGGGGAGAGAGAGAGAGAGAGAGAGAGAGAGAGAGAGAGA